ATAGTCCTGTCCCCAAAGATGGCCTCTTTCTCTCATATGGGTTGTGTGTGTGTCTGACTATGTGGTCATCATGGGGTTGTAAACACCAGTGTCTTCAGGAGGGTGGCTGGGCTCTCCTGGGCTCTGTCGCAATGGCCTTCTGGGCCTAACTCTGCAGATAGGAAGAGAGTTGGGCATAAAGCCAGTCCACGATTCAAGACAGGAGAGCCATGCCCAGGGCACCCACCCAGCCTGGCCTTGCTCAGCTGCTACGCTGGGCAAATCAAGTTCCAGCAGAAGCCCAGTGCTCTAGAGCTCATCTGAATGTGGAGTTTCCAGAATGTGCATCTTGTACTTCCCAAGTCTAAGTCTCTGGTTTATCTGGGGCTCAGATCCACCTGCACTAATATGGACTTACTTCCAAGTCCTGGAACAAATGACTCTTCTGAAATGTACCACTGAGCTACCCGTTAGCACACGCTAGGCGCAAGGGAGGCAGGGCAGCATAATTAAGCAGGCAAAGACTAAGTCTGAGGACAAAAACAGATGTTTAAAAAACCACCACTACCACATATACACATACTTCCTGTGAAAGAAACATGACTTTCCTAATAAGCACTGTGCACAAGTGCTGAGGTAACTATCAGAGAACGAACCAGCGGAGGCCTGTACGGCACTGCAAATGTTCCTAAGCTTTATTTCTAGAAAACTACTTCTCTCCGGTTCTGTGAATTCCCTCTTCTCCAAACACTGAGACAAGAATCTGTGCTCTTTGTTTCATAAGCAAGTACTTTCTCCTTGTTCCACACCTGGGTTTATGATGCTCCCCTGAAATTATCATCATTTCCACAGCACCATATGAGCAGTAAAGTCAGACGGAGGGTGCTGGGAACTCATGTGGTCTCTCTTACTCCACGACATACGCAAAGCATGGAATGTTTTTGGAGTGATGTACTGTCTTCCTAAATTAAAGATGTACCTACCTTTTGACTTAACAATCACATATCTAGGAATTGACACACAGGAATTTAAAGATACACAACAATACATATGCATCGCTGCAGTGTTAATTTTAACAGCAAAAAAAGTGCACACTACTTAATGTCACTTAAATAAATTACGATACATTCATGCTACGAAATATGACATAGCTGAAAGTAGCAGCCTTATAGGAGCAATATGGAAAGATGTCACCCGTACACTCGTAAATGAAGAAAGCCAGTTCCAAAGCTGTGTGCACTGCAGGCCCTACGTATGCATCTGGTGTGATGAGCAGAGCATCGTGGGGCTCCTCCTGGGAAGTAATGGGATGGAATGGAAAGGAAGACTTTCAATTTTCATCTTCCATGCTTCTACACTGCTTGAATTTTATTTACTGGAAGCACATATTTATACAAAAACAAGTTTTTAAAAAGCAAGGATTAGGAAGCCAGGTGTTCACTATCAAATCTGGCCACAGACAAGAGGTAAAAAGATGTCAAATGGCCCTGATTTGCTCTTATAGGAAAATCAGATCAGAAGTTCTGGAATAATTCTAAGTCAGGCCTGCAGAAGTGTGTCCTGTGCCTGCCTCCATACCTGCTATGTTTCCCCATGGGGTACCTGTCAGCAAAGGCCCTGCTGGGCTGACCTAGGGAATGACTAAGGAAGCAATCCTGTCTCTGGTAGACCCTAGCCCAGGGTGGGTTTTGCCACTGATTTGTTATGTGTCATGGCCAGCCACAGCCTCCATGGACTCATTTGTCACGTCTTACTGTGATATGGAGGACAATGGGGAGCTCACCCTCACCCCACTCAAGATGCAAGCAGACTGGAAAAAATGGGGAGGAATTGTGTGGTACCAAAAGAAGGGTGCAAAAACATGTTAGTTTCCACAGGGCCACTTGCAAGGTGATCCAAGAGGCCACCTCCCCAATGGCTTCTATTTAGAGCAGCACTGGTCCAACAGAACTTACTATGCTAATGGAGATGTTGTTCTTCATTTGCACATGTGACTAATGAATGGAATGTGGCTAGTGCAACTGAATCTTTCATTTTATTGATTTTTGATTGATCCAAATATTAACTTATATGGCCCCATGTGACTAGCAGCTCCCATAACTGGACGGCACAGCCCTAGACTCTAGCTCTCTGGGCCCCAAGGTCAAAAGTTCATGGCCCTGGAGCCCTCTGCACCCAAGTCAAGGTGTCCTCGATTCAGAGGAGGAAGTCCCTTCCTGGCCTGCTCCCCACCAGCGATCTGGAACCTAATCCCTAAGCATCTCCCCATGGTCATCAGGCCAGCAAAGCTATTCACATCTGCAGGTTCCCAAGTTTCTGGATGCCAGGGCCAGCCTAGCCATAGTTGTGCCCACAGTTCCCTTGAGTTGGGCCTACATAGCCATGGAGAAACAGGGAGTAGACAGGCCCTAGGCAGGCAAGGAGGTCAAGGTCAGGCAACTGAGGCTGACCATAGCCTCACGGGACACAAGGTGTAACTGTGTGGAAAGAACGTGGCCTGCTCTTACTTGGAAACACAGTCACAGCCACAGATGTTAAATATGAGTCAGATTAATTCTAGAACACTAACCTCCACACGGAAGATGTAAACGCAAGAGAACTGTGAGCCCCACTCCATCAGCCACTGGGAAAACCCATGATTTCATGAATTTCATGGAATTGTGGGGTGGAGAGTGGCCTTCATCCACCTCGGAGGGCCCTGAAGATGGCTTTACACACTAACCCCAGGAAAACTGGGCTGAGATTACACAGTGGAAATTCAGGAAAATAAAAAAACAAAGTACAAGAAAATCTTTCTCCCATGATTTCAGACTCTCTGACGCCCTGAGGAATAAAAAAATTCACCTTCCAGGTGTTTTATACAGCCACACGTAGTACCCTTGTGGCTGTTTTCATTTGGTCCTGTCTGAACATCCCACGTGGCTATTTGTGTTGCCAAGAGCTCCATATTGGCTTTTGTGATTTTCTCATTGCAACCTCAGACTGACAACCTCCTTCTGTCTGGGTTGATCAATATTAATTTCAGCTGTCTTTTATTTTATATTTTCTAGGGTTTGATTTCTTTTTAAATTAAATCTAATTCATCCAAACCTTAAATTTTTAGAGGGGTGTAAGCAGACTCTTCCAAATCTTGAACATGCTGCCCAAGATTTGCCTGAACATTTTTCTTCCCTTCTGAAATGACGCTCCCTTCCCTCATTGAAGTTCTTAGGGATGATGCAGTCTACTTCATTCTATTCCCTGACCTGGCTGGCCCTGGGCCAGTACCCTACTTGTAATTACTACAGTTTGGGAACATGGGAATATGTTCACACATCAGACAGAATTGGCCTTTCAAAAGCTACTTAAAACTCTAATACTCTTATCTGTTTTACCCTTCAGATGAGACTTTTAGGATAGTTTTGTCACATTAAGAGGGGAAAATCTCACTGACATTTTGGCTGGGAGTATAATAAACCACTAAGTGAACTTGGGAATAACTATCACTTTATAGTATTTAATCTTTCTTATCCTGGACCATGATATTTCTCTCCTCTGTTCAAATTTTCTTTAACACCACCTCAGCTGAGCTGCTGTATGGGTTCACACAGGCATAGAGCTAGGTCTTTCTTCTAACAAGGTGTCTCTACTACCTGCAAATAAGGACCATTTTGCCTTCTTTTATATATTACCATCACACTGCTACTTTATGCCTTATCTCAGACATCTAAAGCCATTACATGGTAATAATGGCCAGAGGACACGGGAAGCTCTATTTTGAACACACCTGACATAGGAGAGCCGGAAAACAGGCCAGTTCTCAGTCTCATCCCTGTTTTCAAGTCTCAGATGCTCTTATCCCTGGGTCAAGCAGAACATCACCTTAAAGACAAGGTAGTGTGCCCTTGATCCAGCCAGTGGAGGTAGGGCTGAGGCTAAGTGGCTGGGTTTTCAAAGGGTGTGAGAGGTTGAACTGACTTGTGGGATCAGGTGGCCGGTCCCTGACCCTCAGCAGGAGGCTCGAAACTGCTCAGAGGATGGGTCCCCTCACATGGGACAAGGTGTTGCCTAAGCAAATGTCCTCCGCCCCCCCACCCCACCCCCACAAGGAAGATGGGAGAGAAGGAAACCTGAGAAAAGGTAATGGAGCTTCACTAAGGATCAAGAGAGGGAAACCCAGCTAAAAATGCAGGGCCCTGTGCTATCCAACACAGGTCCAAACATTTCAGACCCTGTAAGATGCCTCACCAAGACAAACCCAATCCCTTTTCCAAATCAACTAACTAACAGCTAGTCAAAGACTTACACACACATGCACGCACAGAACTATTCTATCAATGAGTGATGAATATGAAATAGAAACTCACTGGTGCAATTTCTATAGTAAAATGCACTAAAAAGATAAGGGGGAATTAACATTCTACTATATATGTATTGCTCCATTAAGTAACTGGGGGTAGTAGTGGATGAATGCCATTATTTCCTGAAAACATCCTACCATTATTCACTCAACAAACATACAGAAACAAATAAAGCTTTGCTAAAGTACCTGGTAGGGTAAGAAATAGAATAGGCTCACAGAATGCAGTCAGACATTTAAAAAAGATCTGCTGTATCATAACTCAGGTTCAATCATATGACTTGCTCTGGCCTAGAGAATGCTGGTTTGAAATGTGCCCTTTTATAGCTCTGCCATAACCATGAGAAGGACTTCTGCCCTCAGTCACTAAAGCCTCAACCTGGGCCTCAGAATGAACACATGTGGAAGAGACCTACACTCAACCTGCAGCAAGGAGCCAAAACAAGTTAAACTGCATCATGAAACAGAGCTACTCGGCTGAGACAGCTTAGATCAACCTCCAGTCAATTCAACAGAAGCATGAGCAAGAATAAATGCTTGTGAAAGCTACTGAAATCTGGAATGTTTGTTATGCAGCCTTGGCATTAGCTGACTGATACAGATGGCTTCCCCAAAGGGAATCCATAAGTCTTTTAAAGAAAGCTTTTCTTTCCAAGTTCATAAAGAAATCAAAGCTACTTACCAGGCTCACCTTTCTTCTTTGAACCAGACTTCTTCTTTGAAGGAGCCTCTTGCTTTGGTGCTTCCTGGCTCTGGACCATATCTGCATTTTTGCCCTGGATAGGAGCTGACTCTGCCTTTTTACCCTGATTGGCAGACGCATCCACCTTTTTGCCCTGGTTGGGGGACCCTTCTGACCTTTTGCCCTGACTTGGGGTTCCTTCTGCCTTTTTACCTTGATTGGGAGCCCCCTCTGCTTTTTTCCCCTGGTTTACAATGCCTTCTGCCTTTGTACCTTGATTAGCAACTGAATCTGCCTTTTTGCCCTGATTCTGGGCTCCCTCCACCTTTTTGCCCTGGTTTTGGGCCCCCTCCGCCTTTTTGCCCTGGTTTTGGGCCCCCTCTGCCTTTTTGCCCTGGTTCTGAGCGGCCTCTGCCTTTTTGCCCTGGTTGGGGGCCCCCTCCACCTTTTTACCCTGGTTGGGGGCCCCCTCTGCCTTTTTACCCTGGTTGGGGGTCCCTTCTGCCTTTTTATTAAGGAAGAAATGATACTAATTCTCTACAACTTTTCCCAGAAAACAGAAGCAGAGGAACACTTCCTAATTCATTCTATGAAGCCAGCATTACTGTAATACCAAAATCAAACAAAGACATCACAAGAAATTACCCTGGTTCTGGGCCCCCTCTGCCTTTTTGCCCTGGTTGGGGGTTCCCTCTGCCTTTCTGCTCTGATTCTGTACCACTTCTACCTTTTTGCTCTGATTGGGGCTCCCCTCTGCCTTTTTGCCCTGGTTGGGGGTCCCCTCCTCTTTTTTGCCCTGGTTGGGGCTCCCCTCGGCTTTTTTACCCTGATTCTGGGCCCCCTCTGCTTTTTTGCCCTGGTTGGGGGCCCCTTCTGCCTTTTTGCCCTGGTTAGGGGTTCCTTCTGCCTTTTTGCCCTGGTTAGGGGCCCCTTCTGCCTTTTTGCCCTGGTTAGGCATCCCTTCTGCCTTTTTGCCTTGGTTGGGGACCCCTTCTGCCTTTTTGCTGTGGTTTGGGGCCCCCTCTGATTTTTTGCTCTGATTCTGGGCCCCTTCTACCTTTTTGCCCTGGTTCGGGATTCCTTCCATCTTTTTGCCCTGACTTTGGAGGACCCCCTCCACCTTTTTGCCCTGGTTGGGCCCCCCCTCGACCTTTCTGCTCTGATTCTGGGCACTCTCTGCTTTTTTGCCCTGGTTGGGGGTTCCCTCTGCCTTTTTGCCCTGGTTGGGGGTTCCCTCTGCCTTTTTGCCCTGGTTGGGGGTTCCATCTGCCTTTTTGCCCTGGTTGGGGGTTCCATCTGCCTTTTTGCCCTGATTGGGGGTTCCTTCTCCCTTTTTACCCTGGTTCTGGGCCCCCTCTGCCTTTTTGCCCTGGTTCTGGGCCCCCTCTGCCTTTTTGCCCTGCACAGTGCCAGAGGCTGGGGTACTGGCCTTGGCACCCACTGGGGGCACAACCACCATAGGCACCTCCTTGGGAGCGGTTTCCAAGATGGCAGCTTTTGAGGCAAGGACCTGGATGGAATTTACTATAGAACTGACTGCTGGTTCCACCTTTGCTACTTTTTTCTCCTTCTTCTTTTTGTCTTTAGGAAAGGAGGCCAGCTTCTCTTGGGGCATGGCTGATACCGTGGCTATAGGGGCAACGATCATCGGATGCTGAACTGGGGTTGGAACCACAGCCACTGCAGGTGCCCGCACTGGGTCTTTGAGGAGGATGGTCATGTTGGGGGCTGGCTCATGGTCAGGTATCTTCCCATTGGGTTTCTCTTCCTTTTTCTTGGTCTTTCCTTTCTTTTCTACTGTTTTCTCCTTCTTTTTCTTCTCCACTTTCTGGTGGTGAGTTTTCGCCATCTCCTTGCGCTGGTTGGCTAGAGCTTCTTCATATGATGTCTCCTTCATGGAGAAGGTTGACACTAGGAAGATGCCAATGGCGGAAACCACCATGAATCCACCAAAGACCACAACCCCCAAGGTTTGAGTATCGTAAATGTCCATCCTGGCTTGCTTTCCTTTTACCTGCCAAACACATACACATATATTACTTTTTGCAGAAATTGAGGCGTTGACAGTTTCCACCCCACCGCCACTACCAAACTTAAGGTTTCGCTAAATCTTCAGACCGAAAGTCAAAGCAGAAACAAATCCAGGCAATCTCTGATGTCATACATTCTTACCTGCCCCTCCTCAGAAGTGAACAAGTTTTATACAAGATATGAGCAATCCCTTTAAGTGCCGGCAGATATGAAGCAATAGAGAGATGGCAGAGTGCAGGTCTATAATTAGGAAATGCGATGCCCTGGAGACTCAGAAGCCTCAATCACAATTCAAGATATTCGCCCACCACAGGGGTTAAAGATTCACATGAGCACAAGCACAGGCCAGGTGTGCAACAATGGGGAGTAGTGAGGACTGTGGCAAAAATGTCCCACCAAATTAGGGAGCAAGTGTCACCCAGCCAAAGCTGACTGTAGAAATGTGAGTGCTGTGCCGAGAGATCTTTTGCTTGTTCACGTTAGGCCAGAAATCTCTTTTTCTCAAAGTGAAATTGACAGATTTAAAAAAATACCATGTGAGCCATACCAAATACTTCCGGCTTTCAGCTTCATGGATTCTGACCAGCAGGCCCCTGGCATGCCATCTCTACTCTGTCACCTCCCTTTTCCGTAGCACTGATAAACACAACTACTCAAGGTCAGATGTGAAAATCTTTGAATTACAATCCTGAAAAGTGATTAAGAATTTTCTGAGAAAAAAATAGCCTTTTGCCTGTAACAGCTGCTGAAGAGTTATGGAACCTGCAATTCACGCATTAAGAAACAGGAAGTATCAGTCTTGGGAAGCCCACCAAATAAGACTTCAGGTTTGGAATTTCACATCAGGAGGCTGCAAAGAGAGAGGAAGGACAGTATCATCGGGCTCAATCTTTGCCTTGGGGAGGGGGCTCTTTC